CTAACCGGTTACTCAGTCAGAACAATTTACGACTAACCGGTTACTCATTCGGAAAAATTACGACTAACCGGTTACCAAAAAATATCCGATTGCCATCCCTCCTGCAAAGAGACATCAACACAAATCTTAGACATCAAAGTAAAACATCATACTTCAAAGTTATATATCAGATATCAAATAAACAACTCTGGCATCAATTTAATATCTCAGACATCAACGTAATCACGAGAGTCTTTTTATATCTCAGATATTTGTGAGTGCTCATAGGTAATTGTAAAATATTCACAAGTCACTTAATGAAAAAGGTAATGTGAAGAAATCCTTAATTGATATATCATTTTAGTTCATCATATCAAATTAGGTGAAAATATCAATTCTGAATATATTTCCAGGAAGACGTGCATGAAAACATATATACTAAGCAATTTCTAATTAAAAATGATCAATAAGTCTATTTTAAGATAAAATTTTATATCCAGGCATCACGACAAAAGCATGTATTCTATCACGTTATGACAGTTCTTCCGTAACTTCAAATGTACAAAATGGTTTAATTTAAGGTCTGTCCACCCTTACAATTTCAATGGTTAAAAGTACAAAAATTGAATTTATTTTCATCTAATAAAGTTTAAATTTACCAATTATTTCTCCAAAAATGTATAGGTCGCCATATTATTTAAGATGGGAGACGTAAATCAACTAGGGATGGCAATTCTTAACCGGTTAATCGATTAATCGGTCGGAACGATGCTAATCGGTTAATCGGAAAAAATAAAAATATATGAAATATTTCCTTAAAATTCACTTTTTAGAAAGAATACCACTGCTTTAAGTTCATTTAGCGTTTTTACATATATTGTAACTAAATAATTTGGAGGTATTTATAGTTCTTCTGATTGAGGTCACGGGGTAATTGGTCAGTTTGTAAAGTGTTAATTGCTGTTTTTAAAACATCATGTTGTTACCCCCGACTGCCCTGCATGTGATTTTTTTTAATGATATTAAAAACATCACCATTTACTACTTTAAATTAAGTAGCATGTCTATATTTTGTCAATATAGAAATATTATCTATTAAGTTATATTATATTAGAAAAAAAAACAGTATAGATAAAGTGAGAGTTCATACATAGTTTTGATTATGGCGACAATGCAGAATAAACTTCTTTTACGTCTGCGTTGGAAAATTCTCTGTGTCTGATTCTCAGGCAAGATTCATGGTTTTCCTCATTTTTTCTTGTATAAAGAAATTAAAATAAGATATACTCTTATGCATATAAAATATCCATATCAAGATAATTGAATGAAAATTATTACGTCTTTTAAAGTTTTATAGCCTTCTTCTGTATATGAAGAAATGTCAAAACTAACATCTTGATACGACTAACCGGTTAATCTTTTGACCTTGCCATTAACCGATTTTTGCAATTCTGTAAAAATTGCCATCCCTAAAATAAACAGAAGCATAACTATGTCAACATAAAAAAACGTACATTTTTTGTAAACATTACCATAAATATTATGTAAAAACTGAGTCAAATGCATAATTATGATGCTGAAAGTTCCTAAATACTTGCTACTTATATACCTGAGCAGGAGTTATTGCCCTTGTCAACATTTTTTAAAGATTGAATAATTGATTAAATAAAAGGAAATATGCATTTTCTAAATTCTTTTACTAAAAAATATTTATCATTACACCTATGGAAAATCATCCTTCCAAAATATATTGTTCTACTGGGTATGAATTTAATTTAATAACAGTTTTTACAAAAACTATGACATCACAGGAGGGTGGAATTACCTTAAAATAAGCAGCTGCAGGGGATATCATTTCTCAAGATATCAAACTTTGTGACGTCAACTTTATTTCCAATTCATAAAAATTGTTATCTAAGGCAAAATTAAGTGAAATTCGACTTTTCTTAATTGTCATGTTGTAAAAAACTTTATATAGTGCAAGTATCTACTCTTAGTACTAAGAGACTTCCATGAACCTTTGAATCATACATGAAATGAAAATTTTTGCAAAAAAAATTTCATTTACAAACTTCAGTTTGAGATATTTATTTAAAATATATAAAAATAGTAGTTTTTGAGCTTTTGTTTCTAGTATTAAAAAAATAAAATATCATTTCTAAGCATTTGATTTGCAGTGACGTAACATCTTTTTTTAAGGGGATGGGGGAAGGCAGAGGAAAAAAATCAACTTACTTGACAAGCAAAACGAGTAAATGTCCAAACTCGAAAATCCTAGTTTGTGGTGTGTGTGACTGTGTGTGTGTGTGTGTGGGGGGGGGTTGTAGAGGCCAACTTCCTTCACTACCAAATTTTCTCTACTCAAACACATGTTCACTACCCTTAATTAACAACAATGCTGCAACAAAAAGGAATGGGGCAACCGGAATTTCAGTGAACGCATTTACTACAGTACAAAGTCATGTTTAGAAAAAAGGGGGTGCCCCACCCTACCCCCCCCCCCCCCCCCTTGATGCAACGTGTCTGATTTGTTGGAAAATAAAAAAATAAAATAGAGGTGGATTACGTGATAAAATCCCATATAAAGTCCAGTGGGTCTATATCAGATTTGATCACGTACCGACCTGAACTTATATCCCTGATTACTTAAAATTATGTGTTTGCCTCCCTCCCCCTTTTTATGCCCCCGTTATGGAAGACTCGGGTGTATATAGTTATAAACAAGAACTTTCAAAAAGTATAAATATTTTTCACCTTTTGACCTTCGCGTTAGAGTTAAAAAAGAATTGGCCAAAACTTTCGAACAGTCAGTACTATAGGGGTTTTTATATTTCATAGGTACATGCAGGTTATATTCCTTGTGACAATTAAGACCTTGCTTTTGATACCAGCAATTTTGACCTTTTGACATTGGATTTTGACTTGTCTAGCTGTCTGTCTGTAAAAATTTCCTAACCGCTACCCCCCCCCCTACTGTTTTGGTTTGATTTCAATATAACTATAGGCAAGAAAGTAGATTGCACTCAGATACATAATTCTGTTTATCAGTTTTGATTTCGATGAATACTATTACCGTGGCTAGAAAAAAAAAATACATTGAAATACATTCAAAATGCTACTCCTCCTACAGCCTTGATCTGATTTCAATATAATTTGACACACAAGTAAACTATACTAAAATAAATATAATTCTATAACATGCTGCAATAATGTAGCCCTCTCCGATTTTTTTGATCTGATATTTTCTGGAGAGGGCAAACCCCCCCCCCCCCCCCCCAAAGGAGAGGGCTACATTATTGCAGCTTTTCCATACAGGCACTTGACGTGTTTATTCTTTCTCTTCATGAATAAAAATATTCCCTATACTACGAGATCCAGGGAATCTTTTTTTATTTATAAAGAGAAAGGTTAAAAACGTCAAGCGCCTGTGAATTCTCTATATCAGTTTTTAGCTCACCTGAGCTGAAAGCTCAAGTGAGCTTTTCTGATCACCATTGTCCGTCCGTGTAGCTGTCTACATGTAGCTGTTCGTCCGTCTGTTAACTTTTCACATTTTCAACTTCTTCTCAAGAACCACTGAGCCAGTTTTAACCAAACTTGGTACAAAGCATCCTTGGGTGATGGGGAGTTTAAATTGTTCAAATGTAGGGCCAAGTTTCCTTACGAAGGGAGATAATCAAGAAAAGACAAAAATAGGGTGGGGCCATTAAAAAGTCTTCTTCTCAAGAACCAGTGGACCAGGAAAGCTGAAACTTATGTTAAAGCATCCTGAAGCGTATTAGTGCCACTTCCTAAATTGTTAAAATCATGACCCCCGGGGATAGGGTGGGGCCACAACAGGGAATCCAATTTTTACAAAGAAATATATAGGAAATATCTTTTAAAATCTTCTTCTCAAGAACCACCGGGCCTGAAAAGTTGAAACGTTTGTGGAAGCATCATGGGGTAATGTAAATACTAAATTGCTAAAATCATGACCCCCGGAGGTAGGGTGGGGCCACAATACGGAATCCAAGTTTTACATTGAATTATATATATATAGAAAAATCATTAAAAATCTTTTTCTCTAGAACCACTGGGTCAGAAAAGCAATTACTAATGTGAGAGCATCCTAAGATAGTATAGATTCTAAAATTGTTCGAATAATGACCCGCAGGGGTAGGGCGGGGCCAAAATAGGGAATCCAAGTTTTACATTGGAAATTTGAAATATTTAGGAAAATCTTTAAAAATCTTCTTCTCAAGAACCACTGGGCCTGAAAAGCTGTAACTAGAGCATTCTTGGGTAGTGTAAATTTTAAATTGTTAACATCCATGATCCCCGGGAGTAGGGTGGGACCACAATAGGAAATCCAAGTTTTACATTGAAATATATTGGAAAAATCATTAAAGAACCACTGAGACAGAAAAAGCTGAAACTTTGGTGGAAGCATCCTGGGGTAGTGTAGATTCAAAATTGTTAAAACCTTGACCCTTAGGGTAGGGCAGGGTCACAATAGATATCTGGTAAAGAACAGCATGGCCAAAGGTACTTAGGTGAGCGATGTGGCCCATGGCTCTTGTTGATTTTCAGAGAAATATTTTGAAAACGCCTCTCCTCCTACAGTTTTGGTCTTTTAACAAACAAGTAGACTACACTAAGGTACAAAATAATATTCTGTATAAATTTTTTTGATTTCAATGAACTGCGTTGCCATGGCTACTAAAATAAAAGTTTCTGTAAAATTCTCTCAAAAGGGCTTTCCTCCTACAATTTTAGTCTGATTACAAATCTTGCCATAAAAAAAGAGACTAAACCAAGAATCATTAACCTATTTAAAGCTGTTGCAAAGTTTCAAGTCCAAGTTCTAAATTTCTCTTTCTTTGTTATAATTGAAAGCCAGTAGAGCCACAGTCTTGTCAAAATTTACATTTGATTAACACCATTTTTGTTGTTCCTCAATCATAAACAACTAATATTTTTCTTTGTGAAGTAAACTTGGAGTCACTGTACAATATGTATAGATATAGCAACAATATGTCATCAGGTATAAATAGATATTTTATTTATATCTTAAAATATATGATCAGAAATAAATATCACAGACATTCATTTTAAAACTGGACGGCTGATATTGGATTGAACCACATTAAAGTTTTCTGATTTCTTATACTTTATAACAATTGTAACATTCTTCACACCATAGATTTTCCATAAGAAAAAAATCCAGGATATATTTTTGAGAATTCACATTATTAAGACAGTTCCTGAACATAAGAGAGACTGCCTTTTAAAGCACTGTAAATATCTTTCTCTATCATAAAGAACATACATTAATTTCCTGTGAATGCACATCTCTGAATTATAAATTATTTAATAAAATTCAGTTTATAAACACGTGCACAAACTTTCAATGTGAATGAGTTACAAATACTGTCTTCTATAGGAGCAACCCATTCTCACTTCAGTAATAAGTTTGGATCTGTGACAGAATTGGATAGAGTAGTATTTTTAGATTGAATTTTGGATCCTAAACGATTGTATTTTTTGGTCATGAAAAATTCTAGCTCCTCCTCTCTCTTCTCTCTGCAAAAAAAAAATAATTTTGAATAAAACAAAAATTTGATATTAATATATCTCAAATTACTGTATATAGGGTTATTTTCATTAAGTATGACCCCTTCCCCCCTTCCCCCTTTCCCTCTAAATATTGCAATAAAATCAATTAATTGGATCCTTGTATGTCACATACTTCTGCTTATTGGCAATGTGAAATTTTAGTACTTAAGGTTTATTGACCCTTTGATAGGACAAATAACTCTTGCTGGGGCAAATGTTTATTATTTCTTTATAAAATTGTCAAGTAGAAGGCCATTTTGGCTATAAAATTGTCAACTTAAAAGGACATTTCTTCCAAATTTGCCCTGCAAAGTGTGAAGAAATTTTGTGCTTTTTCAATTATAAATAAAATTTCTATTTTTGAAAATCATATGGGTTAGGCCATAATAAAAATATTCCTAGATTCTCATCCCCGCCCGCCCCAATTTTATACCCCCGCCTCCATTTTTTTTTATTTCTGTTTTTCTTCGTCTTCATTCTGATCCGGATCAGTATTCATCTACCATTCTACTTTCGTTTTAAATCCCGTGCTCAAAGTCGACATGATTTTGACAGCTGAAAAGATGGTTAATACATGCGTATATGTTTTAAACAAGGGTCGTTGGTTGAAAAAATTGGAGATGATGTGAATATAACCTTTACTATGACTTTTATTTGGGTATTGTAGATAAAATAACACCGATTGACCAGGTCAATAAAAAATCTTCAAAATTGAAAAAAATAAAAAAAATAAAATAAAAGACACCCGCCCGCCTCGATTTTTTAAAAAATACGGATGAGAATCTAGCAATCTATTTATTATGGCCTTAAAGCAGAACTTTTTCATGTAATGGTTAGAGGACTGAAGAATCTCAAAACAATAAACTTCAAATAAGCTTTACCTTGGCACTGGACCATAAGTTGACACTGGAATGTTGGTTGAAGGGAGCTTGTTTCCGTGTGGGAACGTATCACTGAAATTAGTTTTTTGACAATTCTAATAAAATTTTCTATCATTGTTAGTTGAAATAGATTTGTAGAATTACTCAAAATGTCAAAGTTTCATGATGTTGAAATTGAAATTATTTGATTTTATGTAAAAAAAAAAAAAAACAAAAAAAAAACCCAGTTTATTTTCTCCAATCCTAATTCAGCTTTGCCAAAAAAATAAATTACGATGATACTCACGGTGCAACTTTTTCTTCTGTTGGAACTTTGGGGTCAATAATTGAAAATTGAGCAGACACCATATCTGGGGTTAAGGACATTTCGGGACTTTGTGTAAAATTTTCATTCTCCTCACTGAAAGATAAGTCGTAATCTATATGAAAAATTTCAGCTTGTATCAAAGTTAGCAACGTTAGCTTAAGGCTATATGAAAAAAGGGCGAATTAAAGCAACACAGTATAATTTCATAAACTAAAATCTGAGTGGTCAAATTTAAAACGGAGCAAAATTGTTGGCAAGCGAGAAAGGGCAAAAATAACACGGAGAGAAAATAACACTGTTTACAGTTTATACTGTTCTAAACTTTTCATCTAATCAAATGACATGTAACACTAGATCTTACTCTTCAATGTTTTGTTGGTCATCTTCTGGCAGCTGATCTAGCAGGACGGGGACTTCCTCAGGAAGTAGGTCACTACCAAACTGGTCGTCCCTAAAACAGACAGACAAACAAATAATTTACTTATAATTACTACTAAATCATTCATAAAATTAGCAAATTTTTCTAAAAAATTGATATATAATTTTAGCACAGTTATCTAGCTATCTAAAAATTGAATTATCATCTCCAATGAAAAAAGGAATTTTGTAAGTGATATTCAATTTCAGTGATCTCAATACCCTCGCTATCAATGTCAAAATTGAATCCTCACAAAAATTTCTACTTATACAGTAAAAGGTGAAGGATGTGACAACTTACCACCTGGGTACCCACACACTGGTGAGGGTGGGGGTGTTAGCGAGAGAGGTCAGACCCTGCGAGGGGAACTTCTTCCATCCCATGATGCCTCGGACTACATCCTGTTAATAAACAAACATAGCGGTGTAGTAAAGCAGAGGTGATCTCTGTGGGAATGAGTCAATCAGTTACTCTTCATACATGTATTGAACAATCATTATATCTATTTTCTTGTATGTTGGATATAGACAGTTTTCGATAGGCCTGAATTTAGCAAGAGTTACTTCCCATTGGCCATCATATTGGAGGTCCACTAGATGATTTTTCCCTCTTTCTCTTACCAAATTTAAGAGGATGTAGCAGAACTACTTGGTAGAAAATCTTTATTGAATAATTTCTTTTAAATAAAGGAGGCTTCCAAAAATTTATATACTTCAGAAAAATAAGGATTCCTAATTCAAAATAGCAAATATAAAAATTCTAAATTGGTTGAACAATGAAGGAATAAGAGCATTTGGACCTCCAGTATGGCAGCCAACGGGAAATAACTCTTGCTAAAATCTGGCCTATCGAAAACTATCTATATATATTTATTGACTGGATTTGAGGGCAACATGCATTTTGTCAGACCCAAGAACCAGCCTGTTTACCTGAGGCCATTAGACCAAAGACAAACAGTTGCCCAAGAAGACAGTCAATAAATGTTTTGTTATACCTTTTATTTTATTACATCATTTTTTGACATGCAAGTATCTTGTGCTGGCTACCCTGACTTAATATGCACCCCTATTTCTAAGGACCTTAAGAGCATCCCTCTAAGTGACCTAAAATGCTTCCTCTATTTTTAGGTGACCTAATTAACTTACCTCCCTGTCTAAGTATCTTCTCTGGGTGGCAGAGTGGGGGTTAGTGGCAAAGTCCTTCTTGAAATATGTGGGGATAGGGCACAGGTGGAAGTCGGTGTCAGTTTCTGAGTAAGGAACAGGTGCCTGGAACACCTGTAGACCAGGGGCGGGGTTCTAAAAACAAAAAGCAGATTTAATGATGAGAAAATCATAAAAAAATGGATGAGGAGTGACATATTTTTAAAAGTACTGTAGAAATAAAAGTATGGTTAGAAAAATTGAAGATTTGGAAAAATTGCCTGGCACATTTTCCACAGAATTTTACATAAGCAGATCTAATGATGAGAAAATCTTAACATCACATTGGATGAGGAGGGAACAGATTTTTTTTCTTAATGTACTAAAGAAGTATTATTTAAAAAATTTTAAAATAAAAAGATGTGAAAAACTGCTGCCAGGAACATTATCAAGAGAATTCAAACAGAATCCAATAATTGAGTGAAAGTTCAAAATAGCACTCTATGTAAAAATTGCTTTTTCCAATTCCAACAATTCCAAATGTTACAAATTTAAGTCTTCAATATCTATTCAATATAAGTAACTTTACTAAATTTGACCAATCAACTCACAAAGATATGTAGAGAGGGGTATTCTATTGGTTGGAACAGAGCTTTGGGTGGAACAAGAGCAACCAATGGCTGAGGTTTCTTCACAGCTGACCCCGCACGCGTCACTTCCTGTGTGGTGTCTTCTTCTCCAGAATCTACTGCCAAAACCTCAGTTTCCTCAGCAGGTACTGCAATTCTGATACTTTCATCCTACAGAAAATAGGAAAATTATTCAACAGCTAAGGCATAGGCATGGATTAAAAAAATTCATTGAATAAATATCATGTAACATATATAATGTGTGTTGGGAAAGAGAAAGAAAGAGCATTAACTTACTATAAACCAATTTTTATTCGTGACAACTTTATCTCGAGATTTACTAGAAGTAAACTAGTTCATGGCAATTAATTTTTGCGATCAAGCTTTTTTTTGATTTGTTGTTAATAGGTACAGAAAAATAGAAAGGTATCATTAATTTGCGGTGTGAAATGTGTGGCGAGAGAGAGAGAGAGAGAGAGAGAGAGAGAGAGAGAGAGAGAGAGAGAGAGAGAGAGAGAGATGCATGTGGGAAAGAGAGAGAAAAAAGGGGTATCATTAACTTACATCTGTATGTATGTGTGTGTAGAAGAGAGAGAGAGAGAGAGAGAGATGGAAGATCATTAACCTACCTCTGCCCCTGTTCGGAGGGGACGTGCCAGTTTCGGGGCCACATACCCCCTGGAGGCCTCGTGAACCAGATGTTTATTGTATCCCAGTAGTGTGTAGTGCTTGGGAACTTTCAGATTAAAATAAGGTACTTTCCTCTTCACTACAACCTCTGATGGCTTGTAGGGGACTTTCCCTAGAGCATCGGGGGCCTGTTGATAAAGTACAATCAATTAATGCAAAATCTACTATAGCAGTGTTAAAACATTATTCAGGAGTTTTTCTTTTGACTCTCTAAAACCAAATTTAAAGAAAAACAATCTTTAAGGGGGAGTCTCTGGTAAGGGAGGTAACTCTGATAAATCGGTATACCCCTAAAATACTTTTGGCTATGATTAATCTAAAATCATTAATATAAAATTTTATTAGAATTTCCTTTTTTAAATCAATCTTCCACATTTTGTACAAGAATACGTCAATGACCATTCTTCTGCCCATGTGAGGCATAGAACACCATTGCCCCACCCCCCCTCCTTTCTAACCAATATAACATCCGTCCATAAACTCTGCACATAGCCTCTTACCATATCATCTTTAACATTGGGAGGTACGTAGGTGGGGAAGGTGTACTTCTTGATCTTGTCTGAGGTTATCTGAATGTCGTGAGGAATCAACTCCATCTCCTCCTCTTTTTCCTTCTTCTCCAACAGAGCTGTTTATATACAGACAAACATACAGGTAAGTTTATTCTTCACATTATAACTTAGTTCATTTATCAAAATGCGATATATAGTGAAATTTACTGTACACAGAGTTATTTCCCCCCACGTTATTTTCACACGTTTACACTTGCAAACAATTTTGTCCCATTTTAAATTTGCCCAGTCATAGTTTTGGTTAAGAAATTATAACGTAATCTTTGAATTTGCCCCGTTTTAAATTCGCCAAATGAGGCTAGGGTGAAAGAGGCGAAAATCACACAAGTGCAAAAATTTACCTGTATACACTATATAAATATATGTATTAATGGCAAAAGAAAGCTTCAACCACATAAAATTTATTTTGAGAAGGCTTATTCAAAGTACTCTAATGGCAACTCTGATAGATGTTATAAATATTTTTCTAGATTTTGATATCTGAATTCAAACCCTGTTTCCTACAATAACATAATGCTCACCTGTCCTGGTCTCCACATTTCTCTCTTGCTCTAGGATATCTTGTACTACCTTCTTCAGCACCTTAATCTTCCAGTTAGCTCTCATGTGAATAATCACCTGTCAAAATAGAATTTGAATGTGAAATAGGGAAAAAAAAGGTTCTCTCTCATCAATCTGTTTGATGAATTCACTTGACTGACTTAAAATCTGAATAAATACAAAATACAGTGAAACTTGTCTAATCTGTGTTCTAAAATTTCTAAATTTTTAAAATTTATCTAATATGATGCCTACTGTAGTCACTTACAGTAAATTTAATTGTTTAAAAATCTCGTCTAATCCGGATATCTATGGAACCAGAAGTGTTCAGATTAGACAAGTTTAACTGTAATATATAAGTACTGCATGTAGTTAAGTGTAACATTGAAAATTTTCACCCCAAGAAAACCATTGTCAACAGAGGCGCAGCTGAGGTTGACTATGGTTTTCGAGGAGTGAAAATTTTCAATGTTACACTCAAATACATTGAATATTTATTATATTATACTGAATGCTTTACACAAATACATATCAACAGTGAACTGTGCATGCATAAATTCTTTGCAGTAGCTATTTTATGGAATATCACCCGTCATCAAGCAATGTTGACTGTTGCTACGCTGGAGTGAGTGGCTTCATTAATCAGCAGGTAATAGTGTTTTTTAACAAATGTTTCTCGACCAATCAGATTCAACTAATTTACATGAAAGTATAATATTGCTTAATATACCCATGAATTTGACATTCCTGGTAGTATTGTACAATCAAGCACCATAATCATTTATATTTAACTACCTTTATCGGTCATGGTACTACAGTTTTACTGTACCTTTCTTGCAGCTTGAGCAAATTTTCCCAGGGCAGCATGGCGAGTAGCCCACAAGTCATTACTGTACGTATCAAACATGGCCGTCTCAGGGGCTAGTTCTGTGTGGTCACGAAATGTCCGCCGAAATGTACACTTTGTTTCTGTCCTCTTGTACTCCTCCTCAATGACTGGATCACCACGGCGATCGTACTGTCGAAAAACAGAACGTGTAATTAAAAATGGCTAAGGAACTAACTACAATAATGTAGCCCTCTCCAATTTTTCTCATCTGAAATTTTCTGGAGAGCCCCCCCCCCCCCCCCCCCCCTCAAAAGGCAAAAGGGTACATTATTGAAGCTACTACAGAATTGTTTTAGAATCAGAAGATGCTGATGCATCAGGTACTTGTTATACTTTTAAGAAAGTAACATCCTATAATAATTCAAAAGTAACAAGAAAGAGATCATAACAAAAACTTCAAGAACATCCAATTTTGCAACTTGAAAGTTCATGCAGGTACCTATTTTGATAAAAATTTAATTCAAACTTTGATTTTCAATTATACAAATCTCAAAATCAAAGGAGAAAATCAACAAAAACTAAGAATTAAAGTAAATCTTACACATGTGTCTAATAAGATTTGCAACATCTAAAATTATACATTGTATAACAAAATTCAATAACATATCAAATTGAATGTAAACTGTAATTTCTTATGATGAAGGTACATTATTTCTTTATATCCTCTTTTATTCTTTAAATTTAAATTCTCCCACACGACTCCCAGGCTATATCTTCACATTCTTACCTTATACTCATTCCAGGACTGATCTCGTTCTTCCAGGATCTGTGCTCGAGCTGAGTTTGTGATCTGATCATCGCCGAGTTTAACCTGCCACCTGAGTTGATTCTGTCTCTCTTCATACACATTCTGTCTCACCTTGTGCTCAAACATAGCTTCCTACGAATATTGAAGTAAAATTTACAAAACAATTTCCATTTTAAACTTTTCTGACTTGAAAACACAGTTTTAAGTCTCTAAACCATAAAATACTTTATACTTTATGTAGTTTTCTCTGGGGTCATTTCTCAAATAGTTTGCTAATAACATATTAAAGACAATGGAAAAAGGAAAGTTAGAGGAACTTTTTAGACATTAATTCAAACTTTGATATCTAACCTTCATTTGTCTGGTGGCTGGTTTATTAGTTGACTGTTTTTGAGCCAGCACAGCTGAAAAAATCAGTGAAATTAATTAGAAATAGTCTCACCTTCATTAATTATACACAGTCAAACCTTGTTATCTCAAACTTGATGAGACCATGAAAAAACTTTAAGAGAACTGAGGATACCAAGCTTAAGTTATTGAAAGAATAAGTGTTTGGGAATTTCAAATCACTTCGATATCCATAGGATTTCAAGATGTCAAGTTTATTAGATACCTAAGTTCAACTGTATAAAATGTAAATCTTATGATAAATAAACATCTTGAAAATCTTGAAAATTAAGCAAAGAATAACCATACAACAGGGTTGTTCCTAAGAATTAAAATAAAAGAGGGACATTTAAAAAGTAGAAGAGGGCCTAGAATTCCCTCCTTAACAGGGGGATGAGGGAGAAAACCTGAGAAGACAGGGGATTACATCATTATTGGCACAGGAAATTCCTGTCCCCAAGGTCTTAGGGACGATCTTGACACAGTAAACAAATGTCCTTCCTAATCAGACCATCAGAGGCCTGTTCAACAGAGCGAATGTTTGCGAGCGCTTGCCAAAATTCCTTTAACCGCCAACAGAAATGTAAGTGAGCACACGTTCTGTTGATCAGCCCAACAGGTTGCCCATACTTACTATCTCGGAGATCCTTGGCCCGGAGTTTCCCGGGCTCCTGGTTCAGGACCTGGGCCACAGCGTAAGGAGTGTCCAACTTGGGAGGAAAACGAACCCCATTGTATTCCATTTCCTGAATCTGTTAATAAGACCGGTGTTATTGAAGTCAAAATAATGAATATTTTATTAACTCTCTTTAATATACTATGATGTGCAAAACAATCAGCTACCAAAAATTTATCCAAGTCTGGTTTTAAAAGATGGGTAAAAGGAAGAAAAATGCAGCAAAAAAAAAAATCGAACTTACTTGTGGTGTTTGTTGCTGAGAGCCCTTGGATTTTATTTTAAATGACAGTTTCTTCTTCTCCCTGGACCTGTCCAGTGGTGAGAGACATCTAGGGTCCAGAATATTGTTGTCTACAATTCCTTGGGATTGCATAGAAATCTCCCTACAGAGAAAAATAAACATTGCTTATATTTAATCTTGTAAACTTCTTAATATAATATTTATTCCTTCGTTGGGCAAAAACACAATTACTTTATATCTCTTCTTTTTTTTATCTAAAATTATGTATACCTGGTCCATTTTGCACCATGATACACATAAGGCAAGTCTAAAACTATAGTGCTTAGTTATCTAAGCAAATCTCCACAGAAAATAAAAAGACCCCCCCCCCCCTCCTGTGGCTTGCGATGATGAAAAAATAAGTGTATTTACAATTCCTTTAACTACAGTAGTTGACTGACTGACAGATGTACACTGGGGACTTACTTTAAGAGGCCAGGCGTAGACACTCCAGAAAAGGTGCACACGATTGGCTGGGAGTTAAACTGGGAAATAGTCAGCTGGATCTTCATTAGCGCTGTCTGAAACTCCAGGGGAGCAAAAGTAACGGACACCTCCGTCTGTCCGTGAGCCGGAATAATACCTGTTAAACATAACAACATAAGTTACAACATAAGGTCAAGATGGTCATTTTTTTTTAATCAATCATTAATTCTATTAATGCTTAAACATAATCACACAAATGGATTTAATAAGTATACAAATTTTCAATCATACTTCCTTACTTTTATATTTGAAATTCTAATCTTTCCTTTCTAGAATATTTAATGCATAGATCTACACAAGCTATTTTTCTTAGAAAAATTAAAGGAATGGACTAACAAACAGTAATCAAGCACATAGGTCCATTGAAACAATACAGAATGAGAGCAGAGCAAACATGGACTTTTAAAAACATCAGAGATGGGATCAGGTGCCATGGAGGAGTGAGCATCCTCTGGCTGCCTGTCACATCCAAATTACAAACCTCAGTAATCGCTGCTTATTAAGTGAATGCAACCTGAACTTACCACTCATTGGGTGAACAGTGAAAGAGGGGTGTGGTTGTACATAAATAAGCTGGTACTCAAAGTCAACTGGTCCCTCACATCTCAAGGGAAATAACTGTGTCATTCTGAAAAAAAAAGTTACCATAAAACTATGATTTCTCCGTAGTTTGAAAGATTCATTGAGTAGAGGTAAAAGAAGTTTAAATAAATCCCAAGAAACTAATTGATTATTGTGTAATCACTAATTTTTGTTGGGGTTTAATTTTCGTTGTTTTCGAGGTATGGAGAAACTCACGAATTCAAGACCACCACGAAATATAAAATTTCATATACATTACTCGTAACACTTCTCCAGCCACAAAATCAAATCCCAACAAACCAATAACTTTTTCTCAAGCCTCGAAAATTCAACCCCATGAAAATATGTGATTTTACAGTATCTTACTTATGACCGACAGGTACAGGTGGGAAATTAAACTGCGTGGGGAAGTCCCTCGTACTCATCACAGGGTAGGCATGGATAGGAATTACGAGGTTCTCTTCTCCCTGGTGAATAAAATATTTTTGCTAAAGATTGCTTTCATTTCAATCATTTGCATGGAAATTTAGTATGTTTGGCCCCCATTAATGAAAATTTTCAAACAAAGCACAAGATTCAAAAATTGTCCTGTTTACTCAAAGTAAACAAAAATGTATGAGAATTCAAATTAAAAAAAAAAATTTTTAAAGTGCTTATTTTAAAGTTAACTTTGATCACTATTTTTCAAACTATGGAATAATTTTGAAATGAATTAGAAAGAAATAAATGTCAATGCACTAGACTGTTATCATACTTACTGGACAATTAATTCTGATGCAGTCATAATAATATCTCCATTCATCTGGACTGAATTCTATAGTACAGTCAATGGTTAAACCTGGCACTAAGCGTTCCTGTGAAAATGATCAACAGAATATAGATACTCTTTCATAAAGTACTGTAGGAGGTTAACTTTATCAGTTCCATCCAAATGTCAACTTATGAAGCACAAAAAAACAGCAATTTTGTTAAAGGTCCAAAAATCTATTTATCTTATCTGAGTATTTCAGAAAATGAGAAACTTATTGTACTGGTATAATTTAATGATTTTATTAACCAATCAAAAATTTGAAATATTTGTTTATGCATTGTAACCTGGTTCATGTATTGAAATATTTGAGTGTTAAACAGGGCAAATTCAAAGTGAGCAGCATCAATTTTTCACAAAACTGTCTCTAGGCAAATTTAAAACAGGAATGAATTTTTTGCAAGTGTGAAAGGGTAGACAGAAAACAGGGCAAAAATAACCTTGTAAACAGTATTGTCCTTTTTTTTAATGACAGATGATGCATCAATTAATCCTATAAGTTTCTATTCACTGAAAAAGCATTAGAGTGTGTGTGGTCATAAGGCCAAAACCTAAAATTCAAGTGTTATGTAAATTGAGATAAACTAATTAAATAAATTTTAATTCTTGAATACTTACAGTTTTCTTGTATTTTAAGTAGAAGTATTTGGATTGTGGGGGAATTATGTGCATTCTAATGACCTCCGTTGAGGCATTGACAATCTGTAGGGATTGTACATGTTTCTTATCCACCTCAAAGCCTCCAAAATGGATGATTGCAGGTTTAGCAAGGACACATGCATTCTGAGACACTTTGGAATATATTTCTAGGAAAAAGAGAAAAATAAACATTGATAAGTCATACAATTATGGTAAATTGTTATCTTTATGCTGATGTAGGATGTACATGTACTGTAATTTCAGTTTTTCTGACTTATTTTTGATATTGCAAGTATAATTTAGTGTATATTATAATCGGTTAGAATTTATTCTCATTTTTGTCCCCCACTGAAAGTTGGGGATATTAATTTTGATCTGTCTGTCCATCCATTTATATTTCTGTCTATTTTAACACTTTCATTTCCATGCAATGAAATTTTACACAACACTCTATAGCCTAGGGAAGATCCCAGTAGATTCTGAGGTCAAAAAGTCAAAGTTCAAGGTCTCAAATTCATACATTCTGTTTGCGTATCTGTACATACCTCAAGGAGCTTGTGAGTTTTTTGCAATTAAATTTTATATCATGGCATCGCTTGCCCTTTGTAAGCCCCCCCATATCTGTGCATTATTTTCTTTTGCATTATTATCTTTTATTCCTTCAGCAGGGGACACAGATTCTCTGAATTATCTTTGTTTAAAAAAAAAGAAAACGAATAAAAACAGTCTCTAATGATTACAAATACCAGTTTTTATTTGAAGGAAATAAAAATATTATGATTGGACCAGGAATCAAACCAAGTACATGTAGGCATGGAACAGTTTACCACAATATCCAAGCATTATGGTATTTTTGTCCATTTGTCTTGATTTGATACATGGAACACTTGGGAATTCTCCATTTTTGGTTTGGTTCAGCTATTGGTTGGGATGATTATTTAGTCAACTTTAATTGACATTCATAAACACATGCTATAGTGGCATTGCTCTGATGAATGAATGAGATATCCAGGCTGATACCCAAACCATAATACCCAAACCATAACACAACCTATTTAAGTTTAATGTCATGACAGATGATATGTTTTTTCAAACTTTAACGCCAGTTTTATACAATATCATAAATGGTGTAACTTTTTTTTCAATTGTGTGCATTTTATGCTGAATTACTTGTTTCTAGAAGATGGTTAGGAACGGTCTTCTCTCTCCGGGGTTCTATAAGTTCTATGGTCTCCACAAGTGGTAACTCTTTCGACCCCTCGTGTAGTCCTATTGGACCAGAAACGGTCCGGCTTAAAGCCGAGACCGAAGGCATGATTGATTAGTTCCTCTCCTCTCTACTGAAAAATTAGCGTTATTCCAAGGATTACATGTTTACATGGAAAATTTCCTATTCTCGTTCACTTTTCACAAGGTGTCCGCCATATTGTTTATAGCAATAGTAAAATCACTCCGCAAATAAAAATAGTGCTAAATTAATGATGGGGATTTTAATTACTCAAAACAGAATAATCAAATGAAAAATATGCTATTTTAAACATTTATTATAAAAGTCAATGTATGCTTGGTGCAGGGAAAATAAACGTGGGTGTAATATTTTTGAACAATCAGAACTACTTTCTAGAAACGAAAAATCTCCAAGGAGATACATGCGCTTTTCTCTCAGTTATCGTTCTTGAATCAATCTCCTGTGTTTGAAAATAAAAATGCTGTTGTCACAGATGGCGGGAAGGGAATACTGTTGACATGTACAAATTTTTATTTTTCATCAATTTATGAGGTATTTATCGGAAGTTTTCTAAATTTGAACTGAATTAAATAAATTGCACTGTTATGCAAGTATTACTAATTTAATATCGTCTGCTATAATAACTGTATAACTGAATTAAAGATTTCAATGTGAAAATGTTGAAAATGGACATCCATAAACATTGAACTTAGGTCCACCTACATATCGGTATTAAGCTATATAGTTTTTGAGGCTATATAGCTTTATGACAACACACCCAGGCTTAATTAAGCGGCTAGACGAGGTCGTGGTTAATCGTATCGCAGCAGGGGAGGTTATCCAACGTCCAGCCAATGCTCTCAAAGAAATGATTGAAAACAGGTCTATATTTACTGTATACAGGGTTAAATTCGCCCCGTGTTATTTTCGCCCTTTTGTAACTGCGTGCAATTTTTAAAAGTTTGGGGGCTATTGATGAGTGACCTCACAGTTATTTCTTGAATGAATTTAAAAGGAGGTCATGCAGTTATGGCCAACAGGATAATTGATTGGTAACAGTTCAACACAATGAGAAGCAATCATACTTTCCATGCCCCACAGCACTCAATATGATAGTGCAGTTTTTCCAAACAAAAATTCATCTTTTGCTTAAAAGTATTGCAACAGCTGTTATGTACTTTCAGTGATTTAGGTTGTATTTTTGATAACCCAAAGTCAAATGAATAATCAAATTTTGACGACTTTTTGTTTATTTCTTACTAAAAACGTTTTTGTTAAAAACTGCATATAGATAGCTTTATTAAGCTATTTCAGATAGCTTAATAAAGCTATATAGCTTTTTAAAGCTATATAGCTTAATCAAGACATTGTGCTGGACCTGTTGTACTTAAAGTGAGTTAAACTCAACCCACACATCAATACTTTTGTTTTTGACAGACCTAGTGAGACAGGAGACTTACCATGACAACACACCCAGGCTTAATTAAGCGGCTAGACGAGGTCGTGGTTAATCGTATCGCAGCAGGGGAGGTTATCTGTTACTGAGAATGCTCTCAAAGAAATGATTGAAAACAGGTCTATATATAAGTTAAAACAGGGACCTATATACTAATGGGATAGGCAACTCCTTCATCGCCATGTTTATTTACCCAAAACATCATGCACAACACTACAAGTTTTTCAAACTACGTTTATTCCCAGTAAACAGGGTGTTTTCTGATTAATATCATTTATTCCTTTTATGTATAGGAATTGATTTATTGATAAATTTTAAAGCATAATAATAATATAATTTAAATATAAAGAAAACAAACACCGAAATCGGTGATTTCTTGGAAATATTGACGATCGGGGAATGTGCTGATTTTGCATAAAACAAAATTACTACTAAGATAAGGAATATAATATGTACAAAAACAAATCTTGAATGATTTTTTGACAGATAATTAAAGGATTTTATCTCAAATATGCGATAGCTTTAGAGATATAATTAATTAAAGTTGACTTACGATATCCCGCGACTTACGAGATATCGCGAGACTTGCGGTAGTGGCCTATCCCGTTAGTATATAGGTCCCTGGTAAGTTTTTCATTAAAATGAATGTATATGTTAAAGTAGTTGTTACACTGAACATATTGGCCAGGCACAGCAATTAGAGCATCTGCTTTAGAGTCACAGTATAAGGAATCTATCCTTACTGTATCACAGGTTCGAATCTTACTGTGGGACGTGGGACGTTGAGCACGGTCTTTCAGATGAGAGTGTATAAACCAAGGTCCCATGTCGCAGTAGGTACTGGCATGGAAAAGATCCCTCACTCCTCAATGGCCCTGAGTGCCGAGTACTTGATAAAACTTTGAAGCTCTCCACCAGTAAATGGAGGCATCTCAGTATGAGTAAAAAATTCTCTAGACGGACGTTAAACAACAACAAACAAACACTGTACTTATATACAGCAATGAATGTATACAGAGTTGTCATACTGAAGAAATGATTGGATATATTAACAGAGTTGTTATACTGTAATTATCAATTTTTCTAGTTTGGATGCCAAGTCTTCCAACATTCAGGTGACGGTTAAACAGGGTGGACTCAAACTGCTACAGATTCAGGATAATGGGACAGGAATCAGGGTAAGTTATAACTGTTGCTGAGATGAGTTCAGTTTAGAAATCAGGGCTACTTACCAAAAGAATTGTAAAGGATAGAAATTCCTTCAAATTAATTTCAGAAGATTGTCATTTCCGTTATCAATTCACTTAAATAAAACATCTACAGTTGAACTTTGGTATCTCAAACGTTGATATTTCTGTGAATATCATGGATATGTCAAAGTAATTTGAAAGTCTCAGCCACATATATTTTAAGTATTTTACCCCTGATATCTTGAATTCTCAGATATATATATCAATGTTATTTTATTGTCTGTCCTGCTGAGTTTGAGATAACAGGGTTTGATTGTACTAATCAAAAGAAAACTTAATGTTACCTTGGTTTGTAAGAGATATGTCTAGACTTCATCAAAAACTTGAATACTTGTTGTAAAGACTGGTTAAGAGTTACTTCTCTTTGTTAAATGGTATATATTTATTAACAGTCATTGATATTATCATGATTATCCACCGATTTAAGTTTGGTTCTGGCAAACTTTATAAAAGAAAAAAATAACCCCCATTGAAGTTTTCTCTAGAGGATTAATGCTTATTTACTTCATGTAGTGTATATATATTTTAACAGTCGAGCATTCCTTATTACTTCTTTGCTTCTTATATGTTACCATGTATACTTTGCCTATCTCCAATTGTCCTTGAGATAGAGCAGTTTCATTAACGCATTGTAAGTCAGTTGTCAGTCCCCATGATTCAGTATGAGCTCTCATGTATAACAAACTTAGTAATAACTATATAACATTATTGAGTTTTATATAAATTGTTGTCAAATGGAATTGCTATAATCATAACAATCAAAACTTTCAGTAAAGTGATAAAAAATTTGAACAGCTATAAACCCTGAGAAGAAAATATGGTAACTAAACTTTGTTTTGATGACCATAAAAATGATAAAAGTTGAAATTAATTGAAATAGAAAGAAGACATGGAGATTGTATGTGAACGATTTACCACCAGTAAACTTCAGAAGTTTGAGGATCTGAATTCTATAGCTACCTACGGATTCCGAGGGGAGGCCCTGGCTAGCATAAGTCACGTAGCGCACGTTACCATAACGACTAAAACTGCCGATTCCAAATGTGCCTTCAAGTAAGTGTCTCGGCCTGATTGGTCTAGGTCCATGTCGGAAAATAGATATTATATTAAGATTGAGGTTTATTGATCCCCTCTTCACCACTATATAAAATTTTGTGATTTTTCAAAAGAAAGTAAGTTTATTAAAATGCGTAAAATAGCAAACCTTGTTTTAAAAAAAAATTGACAGAAAATTGTCTGTTTTGAAGGAATGATAGTCAAATATCTGAGAATTTTTAGGTCAGTGAAATTTTCTATGAAAATAATTTTTAAAAATTGATTTGTTTTATATGGATCCATTTGAATCTTTTCTTCTGTTTCTCAGAGGAAGCTATGTGGATGGGAAATTGAAAGAACCTGTGAAACCCTGTGCTGGAAATGTTGGAACTCAGATTACTGTAAGTGTTACGATGATAGGGAAGGTAGAATTGTTGTGTATGTGTCCTGATACAGTTGAACTTTGGTATTTCGAACACTGATATCTCAAATACCATGGATATGTTGAAGTAATTTTGAAGTCCCTACCATGAGATTAGTGCTAGAAATCACCCATTGATACCATATAACAAGAATTTTGAGAGATCTTCTAATTTTTGCGATATTATAGTGATGGTGGTGGAAGTGCTAAAATAGGTGTGGTTTATAATTCAGTCATATGTATATTCTGAGTTAACAAATGTAATTATTCCTTTAATCTGTAAAAATTAATTTATCAAAATAAAAGTAAACTTTTTCAGATAAAATCGCTAAATTTGACGCTAAAGGAAATTTACTAATAAGATAACCGATTATACAATTGGGTTACTTTTCATGCAACTTTTGGTTGGTACATGTATTTAGGTAGAGGATTTGTTCTACAATATCTCCACCAGAAGGAAAGCCTTAAAGAGTCCCTCTGAGGAACATGCCAAAATCGCGGAAGTGGTCAGCAGGTAATGTGTGTTCACTGGCAATAGATTCATTGCTAGGGGCTGCGTTCAACAGCGTAGCTGCTAAGTATAGCTAAGCTCCTTAACAGAGAGCTAGCCTAGTCGCTATGTAGAGAGAGGTAGCTAAGTACCAAATCCAAGGTGTTTCCCTTAGTTACAAGTTGGCAGTACATAAAGGTTTAACAAAATGGGGGTTATTTTCTACATCTTAATGAATTGAATGTAATTTCAACTGATACTTTATTGCAAAACTAATAATAAATTGAGAATGGAGATTGAGATTTACTTCAAAATAAGTGATATTTCAAATAAGCTATTTCAATATAAGTGGTGTAAGCTACATACTATTTGACAAGTATGCATATTATTGTGCAAAGATTATTGTGTGAATTCATAAATTCTTCTGAAAATTTATTATATTAAACAACATGTTGGATTACTAATAATTCTGCCAAGTAGGCTATAACATATATCTGTGCTGAATTTGAAACACCCTAAGAATAAACGAGAATACATGTATATGCAAGTTCAAATAAGGAGATTTATAAATAAAGCTAATTTACATTTAATATCTGATTTCATTTTGACAGATACGCAGTGCATAATTCCAGTGTGGGATTTACCCTTAAGAAGGTGAGTCATGTATCTTTATGAAGTGGGGCCAGTACATTCCAAGATATTTTCTGCTTCTGCACTGATACATTTTTAGCTCTACTGGTCAGAGACCAGAAGAGCCTATTCGATAGTAAGATGTCCGTCATCCGTCCGTCTGTCTGTCTGTACGTCTGTCTGTAAACAATTTTTCAAAAACGCTACTCCTCCTACACTTTTGGTCTGATTTTAATATAACTTGGCACACAAGTAGACTACACGAAGGTACATAAAATACTGCATTGGTTTTTTATTTCGATTAACGGTGTTGCCATGGTTACTAAAAATAGAATTTTCAGTGAAATTCCTTTAAAATGCTACTCCTACAGTTTTGATCTGATTTCAATTTAACTTGGCACACAAGTAGACTACACTAAGATACATAAAATAGTGCATCGGATTTTGATTTTGATGAACGGTGTTACCATGGTTACTAGAAATAGAATTTTCTTTGAAATACCTGTAAAACACTACTCCTTTTACAGTTTTGGTTTGATTCCAATATAACTTGGCACACAAGTAGACTACACTAAGATACATAAAATAGTGCATCGGTTTTTGATTTCGATGAACAGTGTTGCCATTTTACTAAAAATAGAAATGTCTGTGAAATTCCTTTAAAACGCTACTCCTACAGTTTTGGTCTGATGGCAATGGCTTCTTTTCTCATCCTTTGTTATAAGTACAAATCAGTAGAGCTACAGTCTCGACAGAGACTTCTGGTTTTGATGAGAATTGGCTAACTGTATCCCAATTTTTTTTACCTTCCCTTCCCATTGACCTTTGATCTTTTACTATTTATTGTGTATAAAACTCAGTTTTATAGAATCTGTTTAAGGTATTTTGATGAAACTTCCGTAACATACAAATTTTCGTGTTACATAACCATTGAACCCTGGGCATGGCATCCATGCCTTATGGACATGTATCTAATTTTATCTAATAAATTTATACACTAGAAATAGAATAGAACAGGTCGGAGAGAATACTCGAAATCGGGTATTATCCGTGAAATCGCATATAATATCCGATATTAGGGTATCGTTGAATCCGCGAAATCGGGTATAGGAGGTGTAATCACCTAATAAAACTTAAACAATGGGATGGCGCATGTTGCCGAGTTAACTTTCATTTAGATACACGTTTTCTAAAGGTATCACTAGCCAAGTAAGAATTTGGGCATCAAGATTAATGCGCTCAGGACAACAAATACCCGTGGAGCTCAATACATTTCATGATCTGCTCACAAAAAGACATTCGATTTGCTTTATATTTTTCATTAAGTTGAAAGAAAATGCATCTTAATAATGTTCATTCCCAACACAACAGAATTGTAAAGTATCAGAATTCGGGAATTTATAATAATTCCACATCAACACGACAAACATGAAAAATTTGTAAATAAATCAAATTATACAGAAACACATTCCACACACAAGATATAATGCCATGTATAAACAAGGGATTGTCTTTCGTATCTAATTATGCGTCATTAATTACTTTCACATTCATCTTGTGCATAAAATCAAATTTATTTATGAATGTTTAAATAATGTAATGATAAAAATGTCTAAAATTTCGGCTAAAAATCCCTCTTTCTCTTTTTATTTGAAAATTTTTTTTTTTTCATTCATACATATTTGCAGACTATGTTTTCAACATTTTAGCAGAGACAGTGATAGTTTCAGGAATACAGCTTTTAAGAGAACATAACTGTTGATTGTTTAATTTCGCTAAGTCATCAATATTTTACCATTTCTTGGCAACTTCAAAGGGGGGGGGGGGGGGGGGTTAAAGGCTTCTTGACCACCTCTGACAAAACAACCTCGACTGTGTTCTACATGTGTCCAAGAGACCTCTCTTTGAATATGAGACTACAAGTAACTAGAATTCATGTTTATTTTTTAACACATTTTTTGAGTTGGCTCACGTAGCGAGCTACTCCCTGTCATACATGTTAACTCTCCCGATTTAGGCGGGAGTCTACCGCTTTTTCATCTCATCTCCCGCCTACCGATTTTACTCGCAAATCTACCGCTTTTCTTACAAAACGCAATTTTTATTTTCCAAAGTGGCCATTTTGAAGCCATAATCAGCTGTTTGTTATGTAAATCCTAAAATCTCGTTGATGTTTTCAAGATATCGCGTGATTTAAATCGGGAACACGCAAACGCTTTTTGAATACGTAGAATTCAAGCTTGCTTTTGACAATGACTGGTGAACACATCTCAGTGATTACATTAGCGACGAGAAATGTCGTCGATATCCCCGCCAAGAAAAAGGAAAAGATACAATTCTAGCTTCAACAATGAATGGCTGAAAACTTTTGACTTCATTCACAGAAGTAAAAAAGGTGATCTGTACGCATTTTGTACTATTTGTCATACAGATTTCTCTGTAAGCCATGGCGGAAAATACGACATCGAGAAACACAGAGAGACAGAGAAGCACAAGCAGTCATATAAAGTAAGATCTCAACATTCAAGTTTGAAAACTTTATTTAAGGCAGAATCAACGGACTTAAATGAAAAAGTACGCCAGGCAGAGTTACTCTTTGTGGAGTACCTTGTGGAGCATAATCTCCCGTTTGCAGCTGCAGATCACTTTACCAAACTTGCAAAGTGTATGTACCCTGATAGTGACATTGCCAAGAGACAATCTTGTGGAAGAATGAAATCTACAATGATTGTGAAAAACTGTTTGGATCCGACATACAGAAATCCTGTTGTGGAATACTGCAGAAATAATATGTTCTCACTGTTAATAGACGAGTCCACTGACTATGGATGTGACAAATGTCTTGTCATTCTGGTTCGCTATTTTGACTCTCAACGTGGTGCTGTCACTAGATTTCTAGATATGCCAGTGTGCAATATTGGAACAGGGGAGGCAATTTTTGAAGTCATAAATGAAACTTTCAGGTACATTTTTTCAGAACATAATGTCATTTATTAATAAAAGATATTGATGAAATAATATTGAAAATTCTTAAAATGTATTTATTTCCATTGCAGAAAGCTTAACATTCCTTGGCATAATGTTGTTGCTTTTACAAGTGACAATTGTAACGTCATGAAGGGAGCCAACAATTCTGTCATATCTAGAATTAAAGCTGTTCAGCCTGATATATTTGATGTCGGCTGCATATGTCACCTGGCAAATCTGTGTTGTGGCAGTGCTGTTAAGCAGCTTCCTTTTGCTGTTGATGACTTGCTGATAGATATTTATTTTCACTTCAACAAAAGGTAACAATTAGCTGAAACTTGAGTCATACAATTTTACTATAGCCCTACAGGAAATAAATTAATTCCATTCCAACAAATTTTTTGAGTGAATTTATATTTTTCATATGTTAGTTCAAAGAGAGTTGAGGAATACAAGGAATTTGCTGCCTTCACAGAAACAGATCCATTGAAGATACTGAAGCACTGCACCACTAGATGGCTGAGTCTTGAGAAGTGTGTAAGGAGAACTCTTCATCAATGGCCAGCACTACAGTCCTATTTCTCAAGCCACAAAGATGTTGAAAGATCTGGAGGACGAGTGAAAAAAATTTCAGAACTTCTGACCAATCCTGAAGTGAAGCTCTACTTTTTGTTTCTTGATTTCATCCTTGTTCCTCTCAATGAGTTCAACACTCTTTTTCAGGTACAATTAATGAATATGTGGTGCTTTAAAATTTAAAAATATTTAGCATTGAGATAAATCATTATTGCTTTTATGTCATTTCAACAGTCTGATCGTTGTCTGCTGGGGTCCTTGAAGTCAGAAATGGAAAGACTTCTCAGAAAATTCACAGCAAAGTTCATCAAAGCTTCTGTCATTAGAGAACACAACACAGACCTTACTAAAGTCCCATTCTACTCTGATGAGGCCCAACTTTCAGATGAACTCCTGGCTGTTGGAATGTCAGCTAGATCCTTCCTGGCAGAAGAGGAGGAAAACATTCCAATTGCAACACCATCAAGATTTTTCATGTAAGTAATACAGAATCAAAATTTATCATTTTGAAACATGATAAACAACATTAAGAAAAGAAAAAAAAAATATATAGAAATCATCTTATTATTATCATTATAGGTTTGTCAGAAAATTCTACCAGGCTGTAGTTTCAAAGATGGTGAAGAAATTTCCATTTAAAGACTCTCTGTTACAGGATCTCAGAATCATTGACCCCAAGAATAGAAAGGATGTTACAGCTGAGACAGGTTATTACATTTTTATCTATTTCAAAGACATGTGCACTTAAAAAAAATTAAAGTCATGCATTCTGATATCTTTTTATTCTTCTAATTCAGCAATGAACTTGGCTAAAAGGTTCAAGATTCTTCAAGATGAGGACCTGGACTCTTTGACTGATGAGTGTCATGATTATGTGGTTTCCCCTGATGATGACCTTCCATCAGCTGAACAAGAAATCAACACATTTTGGATTGAAATGTCCCAACAAAAGCTTGCCAATGATCAACTCAGATTTCCCAAACTGTGCTCTATTGTTAAAGCCATGATGGCAATTCCAAATTCAAATTCTGAATGTGAAAGAGTGTTTTCTTGTCTTAAGAAAATCCAAACCAGTTTCAGGTCAGAGTTATCTCAGGAGACCATCTGTTCCATTCTAGCAAGTAAACTTAACAATGACAATGTGTGCTTCCAGTCAATTCCAACAAAGGCAACTCTCCAAATGGCAAGAACAGCCACTAAAACCTACTGTGAAGAACACAAATAAAAACTTATGTCTCATTATGTTCCCCAAACGAAGTTGGGGAACATATTGTTTTTACTCTGTTTCTTATTATTATGTTCCCCAAACGAAGTTTGGGAACATATTGTTTTTACTCTGTTTCTTATTATTATTATTATTATTCTTTTTTCTTCTTATTTCTTCTCCGGTACTTTTTTGTCCGCGAGTGTTCTCAGAAACTGTTCACCCAACTGAGCTAAAACCTTTTTAGGGTTAATAGGTGTGTTGTGTAGGTGTGCGGAACGAAGGTCATTTTGCGCGCATACGCCTGCACGTGCGGGCGCGTGAAATGACTGAAATGACTAATATATTTAATATAGCCATAACTTTAACATTTTCCGATGAAATGCTTTGAAACTCATTATATAAGGATATATTAATAGTGTAGATAATGTGACACTGTCAAATTAGCAAGAACTCACGCGCATTTACGTGCGCTTCGCTCTGATTGGCTGAAACAAAAATCTCAATATCTTTTCCGTTTTTTGACGAAATGGTATGAAATTTAAAATATAAGCATACTTTAAGATGTCCTACAACATGATGTATAACATTTGTCATGAAAGCATGCGCATGCACGTGCGCTGCAATCTGATTGGCTTAAACTTCAAATGGCTGTAACTCCCTTGTTTTTCAACCAACCACGATAAGATTTAGAACATAGACAGACACAATAGACTCCTATAAGAAGTTATGGTCATCATGCACATGCATGCACGCGCATGCACGTGCGCTTTGCTCTGATTAGCTGAAACAAAAATCTCAATATCTTACTTGTTTTTTGACAAAATACTTTGAATTTTAAAACATAATCATACCTTAATACGTCCTAAACTATGATATATAAAAGTATTCAAGAAACCACGCCCATGCACGTGTGCTGCGATCTGATTGGCTTAAACTTTAAATGCCTATAACTTTTTTGATTCTCAACAAAACAGGATGAAATTTAGAATATGAATAGATATGACGGATTCTTACATTATGCTACTATCAAACTTGAATGCAAGGACTTGCATGCACGTGTGCGCGCGCAATGCGTTAAATGACCGATTTACTTGATATAGTCGTAATTTTTTTTATGAAACGTTTCAAAATTCAAAGAATAGAAACACATTAAAAGTGTAGTCACGATGATATAGCTTTCATGCATTGCACCTTCGCGCGCGTGCAATGATCAAATGACTTGTATACTTGATATGGCCGTTACTTTTATATTTCTTTATGAAATGCTTTGATGACCTTGACCTTTGACCTTGACCTTTGACCCCTTGACCCAAAGGTCACAATCCAGCTCAAGTTCGTAGATGTATTTACAAACTCACTTTAACAAATGCTTAGAATAAAAAAGTCAAACCCCCCCCCCCTTCTCCTTAAAAAAAAAAAATCAATAACAACGTAGAAAATTTCTCTGAAACTCGATCAACACCTGGGATCGACATAAAATTTCACTTAAGGTGCAGAAAAGACTTCATAGAAAGTTTCCTGAAAGTTTTACGGTAAGTCTCTAAAGTATATAGAAATTATGAATTTTTACGGCAAAAATTACAAATTCTGTCGTGTTTGAAATTTAAGTGCAGACGAACAAAGATATGATATAAACCTTTTAAAGCCTATTTCTCCAGATGTCGTTAATAGCATTCAATTCTACTGATATGAATTAATATTTTAATACCAAGCATTCTTCTTTTATTTCACCATTGAAATTTATCTGAATTTTTTTTAGAATTACACAATCCCCAGAAATAGCGAGTTTCGGTATATTAAAAAGCAATACACGTTTCTTTCCAGTAAAACCTCACGTGTTTGAATTCATGAAAAAATATTGATAAGGGGGTGTTAAACAATACCTGTCACATTAGCTGACACCAAAAAACCAGGGTACGTACACGACATTTTCTGATTTATTTGCATATGCAAACAGGGCTACCCTCAAATCCACGTGTTTTCCATGTCTTTATAAACATCACAAAAGCACCCCAGGAAGTAGCCTCCTATGCCCTGGAGAAATAGTTCCTGTCAAAAAACTTTATTTATTTATAGAGTAGATAAAATTTCCTAGGCACAGGTACCAGAGTTGTCAAACTGGCCTGGAAGGAAATTAAAAAAACTCTCAAAAGAAAGGAAAATCGGCTTAATGTATGGACCTACAATTGACTAAGTTCATTTTGATTGGTCAATTACCGGTGTGGTACCCCTAGTCGCCTTGAACCCAGTCCTGTCTTTCTGAAGAAAACCAACTCCGAGCCCGATGTAAAAATCTTAGTAGAGAAATGAGAATTTGAATTTTGCTGCCTTATTATGTTCCCCAAACGAAGTTTGGGAACATATTGTTTTTACTCTGTTTCTTATTATTATTATTATTATGTTCCCCAAACGAAGTTGGGGAACATATTGTTTTTACTCTGTTTCTTATTATTATTATTATTATTATGTTCCCCAAACGAAGTTGGGGAACATATTGTTTTTACTCTGTTTCTTATTATTATTTTTCTTCTTCTTCCTGGGTACTTTTTTGTCCGCGAGTGATCTTGTAAACTGTTCACCCGAAGTAGGTAAAACCTTTTTAGGGTTAGTAGACATGTTATGTAGATTTGCGGAATCAAGGTCATTTTGCGCGCACGTGCTTGCAAGAGCGCGCACGTGCAAAACGTAAAATGACCAATATAATAGATATGGCCGTAACTTTTCTATTCTTTGATGAAATGCTTTGAAACTCATAATGTGAGGATATATTAGTAGCATAGACATGACGACATGGTCAAAATAGCAAGATCTCACGCGCATGTACGTGCGCTTCGCTCTGATTGGCTGAAACTAAAGTCTCAATATCTTTCTTGTTTTTTGATGAAATCCTTTGAAATTTTGAACATAGTCATACATTGTGAAAATCTACAGCATGATATATAACACTTATCATAAAAGCATGCGCATGCACACGTGCTGAAATCTGATTGGCTGAAATTTTAAATGCCTATAACTTTCATGGTTCTCAACAAAACGGGATGAAATTTAGAATATGGTTAGATATGATGGATTGCTACATTATGCTAATATCAAAATTGAATGCAAGGACACGCATGCGTACACATGCACGCGCACAATACACAAAATAACCAATATATTTGAAAAACGGTAACATTTATATTTTTATGATTTTTCTTATTGATTCTCACGACGTAAAGAAATGTTAATGGTTTAGACAACATGCCGTGATCATCTTGCATGTGCATGCACGTGCGTGCGCGTGCATTGAGTTAAATGACATATGGTCGGTATCATTGTAGCTTTAATAACTTTTATATGAAATCCTTTGATACTGAGCATATTTTAAAAATGTCTTACAGAAAAATGGCACAAAGAAGGGATTTGGGGAGCGTTTGGGGAACATCTGTAACGGTCCCCGTTACAATTAAAACTAATTAAGGTCTTCCGTCTTCAGCGGAAGACCTTCTTGTTATTCGTTTGTTTCTTTTCCACTGTTTTTCTTCTTATTTTTTTTCTTACCGATTTTGTGCACGCGATTTCTCGAAAACGGCTGGTTAGATTTTTATGAAACTTTCAGGTCTGATAGAACATTAAAAATTCTCGATACCCTTTTTTTATTTTGATGACGTCACTTCCGGTTCGGAGATTTTGGCAGTTTTGTGATTTTTAAGGGTCAATTTGTCCGTCGCTCTTCTTAAAAACCGCTCATCACAGGAAGATGAAACCTTTTCAGGAAGAAAGAGCAACATTTGTAGAATTGCATTGTGTTGTTAACTTTCACCGGAAGTACTGCACGTTAATGCTTGGTATGGACTGAAAAAGTCATATTGAGCGTTTCAAAATTTCTAACACTTTTTCTATTATATCATTTTACTTGTAAATATTTTGTTAAAACATATAGAACAAAAGTTGTGAAGAATTTCGAGATCTTTCAATTGATATCTCGAAAAAAGGGCTGACCCCTTAAATTCGGGATCTAGAGGGGCCAAATGTTTTTAATTGATATCTCAAAAAGTATTGAGAATTTGTAATACGTCAAAGAAGCAAAGTTATTCAAAATGTCAAGCTTAATCTATTTGTGTCGTCAAAATACGTCCGGCGTCGTCACTTCCGGTCAAACCGGAAGTAGTCAAAAACGCGAATTTTTGCCGTTCTTGTCAAGTTTTTGGGTAATATATGTCTCTGGGAGCATAAAAATTAATTTTCCGTCCGTCGTCATCACTTCCGGTTAAACCGAAAGTAGCAAAAATTCGTATATTTTTGCATTAATGAACATAGCTTTAGAGGATTCAAACCATTTTTAGACGTTATTTCTCATTTTTGTTAAAAATGAAAGCTACTTCCGGTCAAACAGGACGGAAGACCTACTCGTTGCTTTGCAACGAGCTTGGCTCTAGTTAAGGTCTTCCGTCTCCAACGGAAGACCTTCTTGTTATTCTTCGGTTTCTTTTTCCCTATTATTATTATTATTTTTCTTCCAACCGATTTTGTGCAAGCGATTTCTCAGAGATGGCTCGTCCGATTTATACCAAACTTTCAGATCTGAAAGATATTCAATTGATCTTGATAGGTTTTTTTGCTTTTTGATTATCTCACTTCCGGTTGTGAGATATGGACGATTTTCTGATTTTCAGAGGGTCGGCTTGTCCAGGAAACTCCTCCGAAACGACTCAAGATATCGACTTAATATTTTCAGGGAAAATAGAGGAAGGTTTGGTGAGTTGTAATTGGGTCTCCAAATCTTTCTAGCGCAAAAGGCACCGGAGCTCGGTAGGGCCCGAAAAAATGTCTCAGAAATATCTCACAAAATTTGACATATTTTGTTTCATATCTTCACACCTGTTCATAATTTGTTAAAGCATATTGAAGAAAAAATGTGCAACATTACAAGACCTTTCATTTGGTATCAAGAAAATAGGGCTGACCCCTCAAATTAGGGGCTCAAAGGGGCCAAAAGTCTTTTATCTATAACTCTCTAATGATCAATATTTTGTTAT